CCACATGATCTTCCACATCTAAAATATTTGAGTGACTTTTTGTATGTCCTTACCCCAAGGATCATCTCATTTCTCTTCCTATTGCCCTTGTTTGCATAACAAACGAATGCCGGTCGAGCGATCATTCTGATAATGAATCGGTTGATGTCAAATTGAAGAAGACCGAGCATGGTGGATGACAAGAGGTGATTTTACAAGTACACGAGAATCCCACGTGAACGAACTTTAGTTCCGTTCAAAAGGGTCGATCACAAAATTCAAAGCCATTGACTGAGGGCTGACCGAAGAAACTTTGGTTGAGCTGAGGTCAAGAGGATTCATAATCCATTCATAAACTTCAAACCATTTTATTTCACTAAGTTTTTGTAACCGCCAAAACCCACCACTAGTTGATATTGTCTACTTTGACTCGTCACGTATTGCCGTTAGTCTCACGGTTTTCGATTTTCAAAACGTGTATGTTACTCTTCTTTGGACTTTCGCTTCCCCTCAAGATTTTTAGGCTTCCCCATTACACGACTGCTAGGAAGAAATTTCCATACCCTTATAAGAAATACTTCGTTCCCTTATTCAACCGAAGTGAGATCTCACAATTTTCTACTTTCACATCACATCCTTTCTCAAACTAATATCATATCGATTCGACTTCCTATCACAAACTCTCTCGAAATTCACGTTACATCTTATCATATTAACATTTTCGAAACGTTACAAATGTAAAGCTATTCATAAACGAACGAACATGAAAGAGAGGGTCCCAAAAAATTCTAATGTCTTTTGTTTTGTTTGACAAGGGAAGTAAGAGGTAGGAACATTCCTAAGCTTTGTTCATTTACTTGTTCTTTGTACATCTCAAAGCATGCCCGTGACATACTGATATACAACAAAAAAGAATAATAATATTAATAATAAGTGAGAAGTGAAGAATCATATTGTATATGCTTCTTTTTTCCTACTTCTTCTGTCAAAAACTGGCTAAACAGGACACTGAAGCACTGTCTTCAAAAGAATATTGTGTTTTTTTAGCCCTTTTGAGACCCTTTCTCTGGTTTCTAGGACAAATCCAGCCATCTCATTCGCTCCTATTACTTGCCCCCACCCCTCAAATGGGACGTTTCTTAGGTTTTCTCAGGTTTTCTCGTAGATAGGGTTGAATATGTAACCGTCAAAGTCCACCGCTAGCAGATATTGTTATCTTTGAACTCTCTTTTAGACTTTCCCACAAGGTTTTTAACACGCGTTTACTAGGGAGAGATTTCTACACCCTTATAAAAAATGTTTCGTTTCCCTCTCCAACCGATGTGGGATCTTACAATCCACCTCCCTTTAGGGTCCAGCGCCTCGCTGACACTTGTTCCTCTCTCCAATCGATGTGGGTTCTCACAATCCACCTCCCTTTAGGGCCCAACGTTCTCTCTGGCACTCGTTCCTCTCTCCAATCGACGTGGGATCTCACAATTCACTCCCTTTCAGGGTTCACTCTCTGGCACTCGTTCCTCTCTCCAATCGACGTGGGATCTCACAATTCACTCCCTTTCAGGGTTCAGCGTTCTAGCTGGCACTCGTTCCTCTCTCCAATCGATGTGGGTTCTTTCACTCCCTTTCAGGGTTCAGCGTTCTAGCTGGCACTCGTTCCTCTCTCCAATCGATGTGGGTTCTCACAATCCACCTCCCTTTAGGGCCCAACGTCCTCTCTGGCACTCGTTCCTCTCTCCAATCGACGTGGGATCTCACAATTCACTCCCTTTCAGGGTTCAGCGTTCTAGCTGGCACTCGTTCCTCTCTCCAATCGATGTGGGTTCTCACAATCCACCTCCCTTTAGGGCCCAACGTCCTCTCTGGCACTCGTTCCTCTCTCCAATCAACGTGGGATCTCACAATTCACTCCCTTTCAGGGTTCAGCGTTCTAGCTGGCACTCATTCCTCTCTCCAATCGATGTGGGTTCTCACAATCCACCTCCCTTTAGGGCCCAACGTCCTCTCTGGCACTCGTTCCTCTCTCCAATCGACGTGGAATCTCACAATCCACCTCACTTTAGGGTCCAGCGTCATCGCTTACACTTGTTCTTCTCTCCAATCGATGTGGGTTCTCACAGTCAACCCTCCTTTGGGACCTATTGTCCTCGCTGACACTCGTTCTTCTCTTCAATAAATGTGGGATCTCACAATCCACTCCTTTCAGGGCCTAGCATCTTCACTAGACTCGTTCCTCCCTCCAATCGATGTGGAATCTCACAAAATAGTTACAAAAGTCAAAACTACCGAGACTAAATTGTTATAAGTTTAGAAGGGTCGAGACTAAATGATTATATATACTACAGTTTAAGGACTAAATCGAGAACCGAGGAACGTGTAGGAGAAAGAAAAGGGAAAGAGAAATAGGGTTAGAAGATGATTGTTTGTTGGGGAATGGAATTGAATAATGAAGAAGATTCTATTCCAAAAGAATAAGTGTTGAATTTGGTCAGAGGTTGTGAATGAATGGTTGTGGATCCATTGTGTATTATAATCACATGCCCTTTCTCCATCTCCATGTGATTCTGACCCACAAAACCCTTCTTTTCTTTAAACACTTACACATCTAAACCTTTGTCTTATATGCTTCTACTCTTTTGGATTCATATCATCTCACCATATTCACTGCTACTCAAACGCCATCACTAGAACTAATCGCTATTAGGCTCTCGATTTGAAAATCGATCATGCAATGATTCTCATATGTGTGCAGGCTTCTTAAAAAATATAGACGACCCTCTATTTGAAAATCGTCTATGTATTTGATATGAAAAGTCTGAATTGATTCGTTTATGATCGTGTGTAAATTGATTAAAATAATATCTACCATTTTAAATGCAACACCCCAAACCCATTGTTAGTAGATATTGTCCGCTTTGGTCCGTTATATATCACTGTCAACCTCATGAGAGGTTTTCACGCCCGCGTAAGGAATACTTCATTCCCCTCTCCAATAGATGTGGGATCTCACAATCCACCCTTAGTGACTAGCTCTGATACCATTTGTAGTGCCTCAAGCCCACCGTTAGCAAATATTGTCTGCTTTGCCCTATAACATATCGTCATCAGCCTCACGGTTTTAAAACGAGTCTGTTGGAGAGAGGTTTCCACACTCTTGTAAGGAATACTTTATTCCCCTCTCCAACCAATGTGGGCTCTCATAATCCACCTCCCTTGGGAGCTTAGCATCCTTGCTGACACACTGCCTGGTGACTGACTTTGATACCATTTGTAACGTCACATGCCCATAGCTAGCAAATATTGTATGCTTTGGCCCATTATGTATCGACATCAGCCTCACGATTTTTAAACACATTTGTTCCGTGTTTCCATATTGTTATAAGAAATGTTTCGTTCCCCTCTCCAATCAATGTGGGATCTCACATTAAAACTTCGAGATATCAATATAAATCTTATGACTATCGTCGAACTAAAAAGACAATTAAGTAGACATACGTAAAGCGTTAATATAGGCACAAGAGCGACAAGAATACTCGTAAAAGATCCACGAGAAGAAGAAATTGAAAGGAGGAAAAGGAAGCAAGGAAAGTAGTAGTTTTAAAGGTAATAATGAAGTATATATTTGGTGTAGATGGTTGATATATAGTGATATATATATATATATAGAGAGAGAGAGAGAGAGAGAGAAGGGTGTTAAAAGCTAAAAAGGAGGAAAAGTGGGGCAAAATGATGAAGGCTTCACATGGAAAGGATCTAAGGGATACAAAAGAAATGGATGTTTATTGGAACATCATAGCTTCATTTCTAAAATTCTTGGTACACAAAAAAAGAGAGTAGAAATTGAGGGGCCTTTCTGCAATTTTCTCTCTCCTTGGATCCTTTTCTAGCTTCTCATGGAAAGAGAGAGAAAATGAGGGCCTTTCTGCAATTTTCATTCATTCATTTAAACAAAGGAGGGCCTATATTTTCCAATAATGATAATAATAATAATAAATTATTTGATAAATACAAAAACAAAATGGGTCAATATCTGCCACACCCATTATATAAATTCCACTCATTGCTATGTCCTTGAAATAAAACATTCAAACACATAATCTCTCCAATTTCATCAGCCCACCACTCTCCATCCGTCCGTCTTGATTCATTTATGTACCAATCCTTTATTAGACAGGACATAAAGTCTGCACTTAGTCATGAGTCACTGTTTAAGATCAATCCGATACGCGATAAATACATAAACTCTTGGCTGAGGGAAACATTAAATTGATGATCTGGAGTTATCCGGCCATGGGTGTTCGAAAAATCTCCATCATCCAAGTATGGAGGAGGGCGACGCATGACTGGTGCGTCGGGAGGCAGGAAGAAGGAGTCAATGGCGGCCTTTGAAGGTGGAGGCAGCGAGGTTAATCGCGCTTACATGAGAACAAGAGGGAGGGGACTCGCCGGCACTGAAGCACCGTTGTGGTTCACGTCATGGCTTGCTGTTGATCAAGGACGCTTGCTTTCGTTGCTGCTGCAAACAAATAAGGAGAAGGTCAAATGGTGTGGGTAAGGCGTGTTATATGTTATCATTTGCTAGCTTTTTCAAATTATTTTTCAAACATTTTCAAAACCTTATCCGACCCTATTTTCTAAGAACAAAGTCAAAGACTTCTGTAGAACAACGTTCGTTCTAAAATCACTTTTCAAGAGTGAGGTCAAAGAGTGAGTATATGTTGTTTATGTCAACAATCACTCAAGGGTCGCTCAGTTACTTGTTCATCTTGAAAGAGTGGGATTGTGACATAGTCAATCGCACAATCAAGAAGAAGGTGAAGGTTGTACATTCTTTGATACATGCATGTGTGCTCATGTGTCTATTGAGTAGCTACTAAATGTAATGTTCGAACCCTTAGCAATATGATTGCCCTAAGTTCTTTATATATTCACCATTTCTATAATTATACGAAACATTTCATCGATAAGATGAAAGGACGTGGAGCAAACCGAGAGCATAATCTTAAACTACGAAGCACATAGCATCATGGAACTGATTGGCTAGGGGTTTCATATCAATCAATCCGTGAACGTTTCCGAAGTGGAAACTCATGCAAACACAAATACTCCTTTAAGTTCTCATCTCTCCCCAATAACAATACTTGACAACTTCAACTCTAGATGTGAAGATGGGATAACTCTAACATTACAAAACCACATACTGAAACAAACCAAATGAAGAATAGAAGAAACACAGCAAGCATACAACTTGTCATCAAACACTAATGGCACACACATATATGTATAGAACATCATCATACACTATAGGTTACTCACAGCAAACCGAAGTTACTCGTTTTCGCTTTCGGGCTCCTCTTCTTCATCTTCGTAATACTCATCAGCTGTGGCGTCCTGGTATTGTTGATACTCGGAAACGAGATCATTCATGTTGCTTTCTGCCTCCGTGAACTCCATTTCGTCCATTCCTTCTCCAGTGTACCAGTGCAAGAAAGCCTTCCTTCTGAACATGGCAGTGAACTGCTCGCTCACACGTCTGAACATTTCCTGAATGGAGGTTGAGTTTCCAATGAAGGTTGATGCCATGGAGAGTCCTTTAGGAGCAATGTCACAGACGCTTGATTTAACATTGTTTGGAATCCATTCCACGAAATATGAGGAATTCTTGTTCTGAACATTGATCATCTGTTCATCAACTTCTTTAGTACTCATCTTGCCCCTGAACATGGCAGAGGCAGTGAGGTAACGGCCATGGCGTGGGTCTGCAGCGCACATCATGTTCTTAGAATCCCACATTTGCTGTGTCAACTCCGGGACGGTTAGCGCTCTATATAGCTGCGACCCGCATGAGGTAAGAGGAGCGAATCCCACCATAAAGAAGTGTAGACGAGGAAAAGGAATGAGATTCACAGCAAGTTTTCTGAGGTCAGAGTTAAGCTGACCAGGAAATCTGAGACAGCATGTCACTCCACTCATTGTAGCAGAAATTAAATGGTTGAGATCTCCAACTGTTTCAAGAGTAAACAAGTAAAAAAACAAAACAAATTAAAGTGATACAGTACAAGTTTCAAGTTATCTATATCTATAGGCGCATCTATATGCATCTTACAACTCATTTAACACGTTGTCATGTGCAAATCTCTATTTTTGCAAGAGGATAAACAGAGTGGATTTCAGGAAGCTCAAAGATATGTATTGTAAAAGAAAACAGCCGATTCGGGTTAAATAATTGGACAATGACAGGAAAAGTTATCTAACAATTGTAGTCATATCTTAATTTCAGAGATCAGGAAATTTTCACAGGACTCTTGATTAAGTTGACTTTAATGGCAATTGGTATGTCTGATCGTGAATTTTTATAACTAAGTTACCCACATAGATTAGAAGTGCTTGAAATACTGAATCAACTTCTTCCACCATTTTGTTTTCCTCGTTTTCAAGCAAAGATGGGTATTATACTTACAGCTAGGAGTAGTTAACTTGAGAGTCCTGAAGCAAATATCATATAATGCTTCATTGTCCAGCACCATGCACTCATCCGCATTCTCGACAAGCTGGTGAACGGAAAGGGTGGCATTGTATGGCTCTACAACAGTATCTGACACTTTTGGTGAAGGGAAGACGGAGAAAGTAAGTAACATCCTGTCCGGATATTCTTCTCTGATTTTGGAAATCAGCAGAGTCCCCATTCCAGAACCAGTGCCTCCACCAAGTGAATGGCACACTTGGAAACCTGTAACAACACAAAAACGAATAAGGAAGAAAAATGTCAAGCAAACAAACTGAGATGAAAACACTTGATGAATCAGAAATCCCATGATTGGAAGAAACAATAACCTTTTCTATTGTATGAATGATGCAACCTATTACTTCTCAATAAATTTGTGACAGAAACAAACGGTTGAGGATTATTGGAAAAGGAGTCCTACATCGACTAATTAAGGGGTTGATCAAGGGTTTATAAAGAAGAAATAGATCTCCATTGGTACGAGGCATTTTGGTATAACAAAAAACAAACCATGAAGTGGACAATATCATACCATTGTGAAGATCTGTGATTCCTAATACAAACAACATGAGGATGTAGAGGTATTGGTTCATTGTGATTTCTCATTAATAAAGAAGAAAAGGTTTTTGGGATCTTATGTGTAAGGAAAACGAAGTAAAATCGTCGTCTTGGGTAGAAAATTAATTAATTAGTTGATGAAAGTGGAGCTCTTTGACATGTGCGTGGCATTTCCTACAACAAGCAAGACCAAGAAGAAGATGCGCTAAGAAGGGATCAACACTTTGGCACACGCCCAAGTGCACTTTTTCAAAAAACAACAGTAAAAGCAAAAGAGTACTAGCAAAAGAAGACGTGAACATACTTTTTGGCACTTTGGAAGTCGTTTCGACCATAGTATTTGAAAGAGTTTAATACTATATTGTATAACTCAAACAAAGATGTAAGGCACGTGGGGTGTGAAAAGGCATTTCGATATTGGATCCATTGTTCAACACTCTCAATCATGTCAAAAGATCTCATCCCACATGAACACCCGAAAATAAAAATGAAGGGTTCATTAGCAAAACGACTAATTATAAATCTAAAAGCTTCAACTTAACACTTGTTAGATCCAAGCAATACCATCTAATCAAGCGCATGATCTGAGACAGAGACTATACCTTGAAGACAATCACAGTTCTCGGCTTCTTTTCTGACAACATCAAGCACAGAATCAATGAGTTCTGCTCCTTCTGTGTAATGCCCCTTGGCCCAGTTATTACCAGCACCAGATTGCCCAAAGACGAAATTGTCCGGCCTGAAGATTTGTCCATAAGGACCCGTTCTCACACTGTCCATGGTACCAGGTTCGAGATCCATGAGCACAGCACGAGGAACATAACGTCCACAAGAAGCCTCATTGTAGTACACATTCACACGTTCAAGTTGCAAATCGGAGGTTCCAGTGTATCGGCCAGTAGGATCAATGCCATGTTCATCACACAACACTTCCCAAAACTTTGATCCGATCTGGTTACCACATTGACCTCCTTGAACGTGAAGGATTTCCCTCATCTTCTCACTGCGATCAACAACACTCTGAAGTTAATCACATAGTTCGATTGACATCAAAATTAGAAAAACACATACACAAAAGTACCAAAAACCTAAAATCAGCAAGATCAGATCATTAACACACCGAGACTCAACTCCTCTGCATTGAATGCATTAACTTCAAAATCATCATAGACATTGGATCGGAAGCTTTCCAAACAAGGTAATAATAATTCATATAATGCAGTGAAACTCAAGCAAATCATACAACACAAATCACAGAATCATGACATTTCGGTACCAGAATACGACCACAGAGCTAAGCAGAGTTCAAATCAACCCGATCACTCGCAGTTTCAAGAAGAAAAAACAGCGATATGAAAATCTCCGCAACTTCCACAGCGAAAGAATCAAATGCGGTAATCAGATCTGAGAAAATCGGATCTTACCAGCAAGATTCCGGTGATACAGGGGGAAATGGGATGGAGTGAGTGGTACGTCAGCTACTGGGAGCAGCGAAGAAGAGAGTGAATTGAGGAGTGAGAGAGAAGTGGCTTATATAAGAATTTATGGAAGTTGGAGCGGGTAAGGATTTTGCATCAAACGGTGGAAGGTCAAATCTTAGCCACAATTTCTTGATTTCTTTTTTTTTTTTTGGAGGGAAAATTCATTGTTCAGGGTGAATATATATAATTTTTAAAATTTAAGAATAAAAATGAAACTTTTTAATATTGTTAGATGAACACGACTCTCCACAATGATATGATATAGCCGATATTGGACTTTCATCCAACATCAATACCTCCCTTCGAACAAAGTATGTCTCCCCTTAATCGAACCTCGACTCCTTTTTCATTTGGAGTCTAGTCATTTTTTAGTTCTTTATTCGATATTTGAGGATTCTATTGACATGGTTAAGTTTAGAGCACGGCTCGAATACCATGTTAAATGAACACGACTCTCCACGACGGCATGATATTGTTCACTTTGAGTATTAGCTCTCATGACTTTGCTTTGGGTTTCCCAAAATGAGTTAAACGAATAGAGAGAATATTCTTTAATTATAAACTCATGATCATTCCATAAATTAGCAAGGTAGGATTTTTATCCCGCATCCAACAAAAATATATAAACATAATTGAAATTTACATTACGAAAAATAATTTTTATATTTATTGACACTTTTATCAATATTTTTGATATTTTTGTTGACTTCCATACTCTAAATTTTAGAGTCGTATAGTTAAATTGTTTTTTAATTTCTGTCCAAAATTAAAATGTTTAAAAATAAAATTGTCCAACTTTTATTTTATTTTAAATGGAATGTTATTAAATTTTTATTAAAAAATGAGGTTTATATTCGTTTGATTAAATTAATACATTAACTAATGAATTAATATTGTAATATATATAATTTAATTAATGTAATAAAAATATAATTGAATTGCAAATATTGGAATGACTTATTTTCGTGTGTCGTCGTATTAAGAAATTGATTATATATTCTTTTTTTTCATGGTAGAATATTCTTAATTTTTATAAGAATTTTAAAAGAAAAGTAAAAAGGTGAATCCGACCGAAATTGCAATAAGAATTTATCCATTTTTGAATTTTAAAAATTCATCCCAACTTAAATCTCTTTTCAAAATAAATTTAGATTATTATTATAAATTGTTTGAATCATCGAGTCATATGAATACTCTTAAAATGACATATACGACTTTATAAATAAATAATAATATTTTAAATAATTGTAAATAATATTAAAAATAAAAATCCGGGGAATATGAATAAGGATGGACGTGGGGCATTGGTACGGAAGCGAGTGGCGCAAGGAGTAAAACTCTGCCACGAGTTAAATCCCATCATAGCTCATACGCACTGACCCGACGACCGACCCAAGCGCAGCACTCAGCAGCAGCCTTTTATCAAGTCAAGGCCGGAGCCAATTCTCCTCCTCCTCCTCCTCCGCTTGCTTCTCCTCCTAGGGTTCCACTGGTTCCAATCCAATCTTATTTACCCGTTCTCTCACAAGCTTCTCCTGCTCATCGTCGTTTCTCATGGAGGTAACTTCCTTCCCCTAAATCTCTTCTCTCTTCCTTCTTTTTGCGTTTCATGTCTCTATCCTTAATTCTCTCTTTGATGAATGTTATTGTGCCTACTTTTCTTCCTTTTTTTCGGATTCCGTTTTTCTTGGCTGTTGTTCACCGGATGAAGTGGACGCGGATGGATTTTTTCTGTTACTGGATTCTTTTACTTTTTTTAATCTTGTTTTCATTGAGTATCGGAACTGGAGAGGAATGGCTTTGTTATCGTTTTCAAATGTATTTTCCTCTTGAATTTTCATTCTGGCTATCTCTATATGTAGTTTTTGCGATCTTTTATTACTGTTCTCTTCGGGCTAGCTGCTTGTTGCTTTTCTCTCTGGAAATTGTGGTTTTGAATTCTTTGATTCTTTATGGATGTTTGGGTAGGCTGTTTGTGCGTGGTTTAGTTCACTGAAAATGTGTGTCGTGTCGCTAATTTATAATTGTTAGCACTTGTTTATCATTTCCTTGTTTAGTTGCTGCTTATATATCACGCAATAGATCATGTATTTCTTGTATATTTTAAAGTTTTTCTTGGTGATGATTTTTTATTTTTTTTTTAATTCGTGTAGTCTCCAACGATGGACGAAACTAAGAATTCTGAAGCGCATTTGACATCAGCTGCAGCTTTTGTCGAAGGTGGAATCCAGGATGCTTGTGATGACGCTTGCAGTATATGTCTTGAAAACTTCTGTGATAGTGATCCTTCAACGGTAGTACTTATAGTGTGATTTGATTTTTAATCGGAAGTCAGATGGTTTCTGTTCTACTTAGTCAGTTGATATATTTTGTTCAGATGACCAGTTGCAAACATGAGTTTCATCTGCAGTGCGTTCTTGAATGGTAATTTTTTTTTTTTTTTTTTTTTTTTTTTTTTTTTTTTTTTTTTTTTTTTTTTTTTTT